CGTACTACGTACGTACGTACTACGTACTCTACTACTTACTCTCTCTCTCTCCTCCTCTCTCTCTCTCTCCTCCTCCNCCTCCTCCTCTCTCTCTCTCTCTCTCTCTCTCTCTCTCTCTCTCTCTCTCTCTATATATATATATATATATATATATATATATATATATATAAGTAAAAAGGAGAGAAAAAAAAAAGAGAGATAGAAGTAAGAAAGATATATCCCTCGCCCTATCTTTACCTCTTTACGCTTTGTCCCACCTCAGAAGCTCTCCTTTACCTCTATATCACTCTTTCTCCCATCTCTATCCCCCCTCCCCTTCTCTTTCTCATTATCGTTTGTCTCTCAGCTCCCCCAACTCATCATACCACTTGCCTTCCCCCCTCACTTTTCAACACTCTTCTTCGCGGTTTTTCTCAACCTCTTCTTCACCACCCCTACTTCCCCTCTTCCCCCTCTTTCATTCAAGTTCGTCTATCTTCCCCTTCAGCCCCATCTTTTACCCTGCCCCCTCCCCCTTCCTTCTGTCTCCTTCGTCTCTTCCTCCCCTTCTTTGTCAGGTTTCGCTAACCCTTCCCAGGTCTTTGATGGACTGGTTCATCCTTAAAGATCACCTCTGCCAAGGACTTTCAGCGCATCTGCAGGACAATTTGAGTATCACCTCTGTCACTCGAATCCAGCACCACCTTTCAAAGGCAACATTACACTAGGATAGCCTCTCTTTCGCAGAGATCCTCCCACTCGAATCCAGCACCACCTTTCAAAGGCAACATTACACTAGGATAGCCTCTCTTTCGCAGAGATCCTTCCAGCACCACCTTTCAAAGGGGATAGTTTCACCAAGATAGCCTCTCTTTCGCAGAGTCTCACCCATCTGCGCTTCCTCTTAATTTTGCCCTTTTACTCTATGCTTTCCGTCTTTTGTTTTTTCCTATTATCTCAAACCATCTCTTGTACCCTGAGCACCCATCTTGTGGGATGCCTTCTTTAATATTTTACTGTAATTTATTATTTTCATTTATAAAAGTTAACACTTCGTCAAAAAAAACACAAAGAGCAATAGCTCTGGACTTGATGCCAGCGGAAATATCTCAGTTCAGTTCAAGTATTAAGTCAAAAGGATGTTTCAATCACGAAGAACAAATAAAGCAATGCAAGCTCAGATCACCATCTAAACTCAATTCTCCTCATTTGAACATCAAAAAAACCAATTACTTTTGCTAACAACAAATACAAATCAAATGATACAATGAATATTTTCAGAGCAAGCAAAAGCAGAGTACATTCACAAAACAAGGTTCCCAAGCAGTCAAAAATTAATCAAAAAAGAAAAAAAAAAAAAAAACCCAATACCACAAAAATAGCATCAAATTCAAAGAAAACATGGAGATCACACTCAAACCCATTTATGGGTAATGAAAAGGGAAACTTAATCAACTAAGAAAACAATGACAAGAGGAATGAGTAATAGCAATAATGAGGAGAAATGATATAAATACCAAATCAGGCTTGTAAATGTTGTGGACAATGGACGCGCCTGCTAAGAGAGAGACGATGACAACAACGGAAGACCATGCTAGTGATGGCGTCCCTGTTGGCTGTCTTCCTCCAAATCTCTGCATCTTCTCCTCTGCAAATTATAAAAATTGGGATAACTTTTAACCAGATTCTTCTATCGATTTTTCAATCTCTTCTCGTCTCACTTTCTTTTATGAAGATTATTTCTCCAATCAAACTTCTTTGACCAATCTGTCATCTCCAATGCGACCTTAGTGGAGTATTTATGTCTAGGAAAATGGTTGAGGAAAAAAAAAAAAATTCAAGCTTTAAATTCTTAACCGTTCATTTCGTTCTAAAAATAAGTGTCGATAGATTCTCAAGATGTGTCGTTTTATGAGTTTTAAATTTCATTTCGAGGTGTTAGAAATTGATTTTAGAGCCATAACGTTTTTTTGAGTATCATTCTTAGAAATTGATTTTAGAGAATTATTTTTAGCCAGGGATTTGAGATGAGGTTTTAACGTTTTTTCTAAACAAGGATTTGAGAAGAAGTTTTATTTTGTTTTCATGAAGCCCAGGCATTATAGAAATCTCGTGTCATCATTTTCAACCTTAGATCTTTTTAAGTTTTAATTTACTGAGGTGTGTTTTACCAAATATACGAGTAAAATGACGAATTGCCTAAGATTATAACCCTAGACGAGCAAAATATTTTGGTAGCCCCACTTAAGCAACCCAAGTCAAATGATGAAATCATGGTTGTTTAAAATTACCAACATACAATTGCCAAATAACAAGAGGGAAATTACCAACATACAATTGCCAATCCTACGGAAGTAAGGCGCACCTCAAAAACTCTAAAAGGTGATTTTGACCGTAGAAAATCCTCTAATATTTTTTTTTTTTGAAATTAGATGTCCTTAAAAAGTTTTTTATTTTTTTAGGGAAATGGACTTTCTTTCTTTGTGCGATTTGTATAAAGTTGCAATACTTTATTTTGCTTATTTTATTTAGACAACGTGGATTTGACATGTTTTTTAAAACAATATCAATACATGACATGTCTTTTAAGATAATGCTCAATCCCTACCATTCATAATTATTGCCACCTTATTTCTATAAATAAAGTTGCAACCTTTTATTTATTTTTTTAAAAAGATGGTGGCCTCGTTTTTTTTCATAAAAGATTTGTCTTTTGAAAGCAAAATGGCCCTCAAATATGATTTTTTTCGGAAATGTTTTTATTAAAACCAAATAAGCCTTAAAGAACAAATGAGTTATTTTTATTTCTTTTCCCTTTTTTCTAAAGAACAAATATTTTTATTCTTTTTTCCTTTTATTTTAAGAAGAATGTTTGAAAAACTATCGGAAGATGATAGAAAAGGCAATAATGAACAAAATGAAAAAAAATGAGGTTTCTATCAGACTTGGACTTTATGAAAACCAAATAAAATCTTAACTCAAATACTCATGAAAAACACTATTGGCAAAAAATAATCTCTATAATAGCTCTAAAATCAATTTTCAACAATGACAATGAAATTCCAAACTCATAAAAAAAATACAAATCATAAACACTTATTTTTAAAGTGAAATAGATAATATAGATCATTTGTTACAATATTACTATTTTTGGAGTTTAAAATCCTTTTTTTTTTTACAACCACATCATAATTGTGTGTAAAAGTTTTCTAATGCTTAAATTGTAATTTTTGATAAGTTATAAGGTGAGGCTTTACATGTTTTGATAGGACTGCAACCCTATCAAACCATTTACCAAAATGAAATGCTCAAATTTGAGTGGGGAGAGTGAGGAACACGCAACTGATACATTGAAATTATGCATAGGCTACGGTGACGCACGCATGCCTTTGGACCCCTTTTGGCTTAGAAACCTTTTTGTCACCTCTCCTCTCTCTCATTTTTTTCAATTTGTTTTAGAAGCACAGGTAAAACTAAAAAAATTGTTTACAAGACCATTTACCTTTGGTATTGGAAACTCACAATTACTTACAACGATAGATAGGATGTGAAATCTAATAGCTTCGATAAATTACAAAGTTCAAAAAAAAATTTGTTAGACGGCAGCAGAGTGAAATTTTTTGTTTTTCTTTTCTCAGTAAACAAAGGGATATCCAAATGATGCTAACAAAAATATTAACAATGACATTTTTAATGGGTAAAGAACAATGAAGGGGGTGCTAAATTAATGAAGCAATGATTTTTTTTTTACAGGAGTTTCTATTTATGCCGTTTTTATTTTGTTGAGCAAGTAAAGAAAATAATACCCACAAAGAAAATCAAAATATAAGGAACTATCAGTGATTTTTTTCTTTTGGGGGGTGGGGGGGCAAAGAAGAAAATAAGTAATCCTAAATTATAAGCAAGAGATAAGGTAACGACACTACCAAAATGATTTTTTTTATTATTTTTCTATATTCAATAAGCAGCGGAGGTCCAAATAGAGCAATGACAAATAAAATGCAAAATCATCAATAGAATTTTCTTTGTTTCGTTTTAAGCAGTTTTTAGTTAGACAGGTGCCACGGTGGGCACCATAGTGTTTCTACGTGAAATTTCAAAAGAGCGAATGCAATCTCCGCCTCGTTACACATTGAAACTCATCGATCAGTGGTAGATTAAGGGTTCACTCTTTTATGGCCCACCAGCCACACTTAACTTACAAACATACGTTAAACAAAGCAGGAGGGTGAACTAAAACGACATGTATTGGTCAGATAAATAATCAGAGACCTGCCAAGGGGTGCGAGCGCAGCGGGAATGCTATCATGTGTTGTGCCATGGAGAAGCAGGCGTAGTCATCAGCTGATAGGCGATTGCGCTGTCTTCATCCTTTTCTGTTCTTTTCTTTTGTTGTTGTACAGTTTCTGTACCTGCATTTTCAAGACTTGAGTGGCTGTTTTGCCCAAGGGAGTAACTGTAAATCTTTAATTCCTTGGAGCCATCTTTGAAGCAAAATGAGCTTGAATTTTGCATTCGAACTCATCCAACCTTCTAAATATGTTATAGACCAGAGAGCGTACGGAGCTATCCGATAATCATATGCCAATAAGCGCATTACAACCATGCTATGTAGTAGAGTCAATGAAAAATGCATCTACAATGAAGGGGAAAAAAATAAGGAAAATATCTATCAAATGGTCAAATCTCCTCAAAAACCTCAATGAGGTGGTTAGATCAACCGAGTTACAAGCAACAAGATTACTTTCTAACGGACATTTCACTTGGGCACTCCTGGACTATTTTGTTGTAAAATGTTCGGAAGCCTAAAGAAGTATAGACACTTTGGTAATTTGGATACTAAAGTTAATTGAGCCAAGGGACCTATATACCCTTTCTTGTTCCAAGTTCCAAAACCGCAGCAAGATTTTTCAGTAAAAAGAACTTATTCCTAGTTAGGAATCTGGCAGAAGTGGCAGTATTTACATCTATTGGCTTAGGCGAATTAAGTACAGATACTAAATCCCGAGACAAGATTCTTTAATGGAAAAAAAAGATATTCCCAGTCTTTAGCCGAAACAAGCAAGGTACTTAGATCATTTGGCTTAGTGACTTACGTGGGTCAAATTACTAAAATGGCTACTTCCTCAGCATTACAAGGCCAGAGTAAGGGCAATGTCTGCATCTTTTAATAAATTCTTGAATTACCTAAATGAATAATATTTTAAAAATAACCACTTGTCATTAAATTTATTAAGTTAGCTACCACATTGATTTTTTGAGGTGGTTTGTCCATTTGAATCATATTTTCCCAAAAATTTATATAAAGGGTAGAATAAACGAGATGGGATCTGAGTGGATACCTTTATGACGTCCAGTTGTTGGTTCTCATATATATGAACTATAACCTCCTCCGAGGGGCACCTTAGGCTTGAATGTTACGAGAACTGACATGTAAGGGCAGCGCTTGAAGCAAACACTCTGACAAAATTAGAGAAAGAAATCATGACAAAATACTGAAAGCGAAAGTCCAAATGAGTCTCACTCTCTTCACCAACTTCCATTATTTTCTTTTTTAGATAGTTCAGTGCAGAAAGGGTCCCCTAACCGCGGTAGGAATGGAGTACAAGACTTCACGTTGTAATGCCCCACCAATAACTTGAGCACTAACTCATCACCAGCAGGATGCTAGTTCCAAGTAACTAGGGCAAGTCCGAGTTGGACTCACCGAGTTTTTAAGCACTAAACAGCAAGCATAATTAGGATGGTCCAAAGAGTAATATGCACAAAGAACTTACCGGAACACTAAGTAGGAGTCCATGTTTATCAGTTAGCACAGGAAGCCCTCTCCTTGCAGAGACTGGAATACACTTTAATAACTGGAGAGCTTTCTTTGCTGACCATCTTACATAATCTGAACATGAATCGGCTCTCATTGTGGTTGTATCTGAAACAACTCTTGATGTAACATCGGTTGTTTGTGTCAAGACTCCATGCGAATTTTGCTCTAGTGATGACCTGCTGATTGCCAGGTCAGCAAGTAACATCCAATCAGCATCTTCCATGTGGCGAATCAGAACAGTTGTGTCCTCAACTACACAAGAAGACAAACAACAATTCCACCTGTCTTGTTCAATGTTCAAGTTGAAGTCCTTGGCTTCATCAAAATGAAAAGTATCATCTGAAATTTTTCCCCTTTGATGATTCCATGTGACCCAAAATCTATTCATGAAGTGATATAGATGCCCACATTGGAGGGGTTCACTATTAAATACATTCATGGGTTCTGTTTCTTGCCTCCCCTTAGGCAATAAGTTAGCTCCCTTCTTGTCCAAAAATTGCTTGGATTCCTCCCTTTGCAGTGAAAGGATGCTCAAGTGAGTTGAGTGGGATAGAAGGCCTTGTTTCCTTGCTTCAATAAGGACACAGTCTGAAGATGTGGCATGCAAAAATGGTACATTTGATGCATCTGGCACAAATTGATCAGAATATAATTTTGCAGATGCGATAATGTGCTCAATCTCATTAGATGAAGAGTGTCTCTGTACTCTGTGGTGGTAAAGGTATCTACTTGATACTCTTGGGCTTGATGGCTGGGGAGAACCATGAGAAAAGCACACTAGGATCTTTTTACCTTTGGAACTGGGAGCCGGGCAGAGGTAACAGGCAGCTGCAGTAAACGCGCTCTGCAAAGAAAGTCATTGACAATGTCAAAGTTTTGGCGAATAAGTAAATTTCCAAATGTTCTTGCCTTTACCTTTTCTGTAAATTGTGACCAGGGATGTGTTTAAGAAAAAAAAGAAACCAAGACATCAGATCGGTCTACCACCAAAGTCCATGGCATTTTAAAGTGTGTTGTGTGTGCACGAATAAGTGATCTTAGATCTTCCCAAATTGTTCATAGTGAAACCTGTAAATATCCATCAGCTGTTCTGAACAGAGTCAGTTGAATCAATCTCAATGTATTTTGAGAAGGAAAAACATATCATCTTAGTTTTGCTGACAGTTACAACCAATGATTCAAATTCGGCGAGTCGAACCGGACTCGCCCGGGAACCGGCACACCCGTGCCGGTTCCAGTGAAATAACGGGAATTGTCCGGTTCTAGAGAAGAACCAGCGATTCCATGCCGTAAATCGCCATGTGACATCATGAATCTCCCGATTCATGACATCATGGCCTGCCCGATTCTTCAACAGTGTGCATTGTCATGGGCATTTTTGTAAATTTCAGAGTAAGATAGGTTAAAAATTACAGAAACCTAAGGTCCGCATACCTCGCCATGTGGCTCTCATTGCTTCGCACGCGTTATCCTCGTTGGGTACAAAGAAATAATTGTTACTTAAGACTTTCTTTTACCTCTTCGATATGGAATAATGTGAAAAGGTATTAACTTGAAATATTGATATATTATATATTTTGTTTGCGTTTTTAATATCACTAAGTTGCATGTGGCATACCGGTTATCACATGCCTTCCGCGTGCGGAGGAAGTTGGTTCGAATCCCCTCTCTGGAGGAAACGTTGTTTTTTTATTTTATTTTGTCAAATTTTTTTCTTATCAAAAAAATGAAAGGTTTTTTATCAATTTCACTTTTTGTCAAATTTTTTTCTTATCAAAAAAATGAAAGGTTTTTTTTATCAATTTTGATTTTTGTCAAAAAATTTTCTTATCAATAAAATAAAAAGTTTCTTATAAAAAAAAATGAAAGGTTCTCATCAATTATTTTTCCTGCCAAATTTCTTTTTTTTGTCAAAAAAATAAAAGGTTTTTGTCAAAAAAATAAAAAGTTATTGTCAAAAAAAAAAGTTCTTATAAAAAAAAAAAAATACAAGTATTTTTTGTCAAAAAAAGGTTCTTGCTAAAAAACAAAAAAAATGTAATACGACAAACATTTCTTGTAAAAAAATAAAAGGCTTTTGCCTAAAAAACTAAAAGGTTCTTATCAAAAACCGTTCTTTATTGTAGTCCATGTATGATTATATACTTCATCCATGATAGTTCCTTGATTTTTATTTTGTGTGATATAATTTAATGGTTAAAATAAGTTTATACAAAGAAAAAATATTTCAATATTCACATATTGATGAAAAAAAAGAAAATTAATAATATAGTACCCCTATTTCTTATTGGATTCCTAAAAAACAACATTTATAATAAATTTTAATAATTTTTTTTAAAGCTTAATCCGACTGATTAGGCTGATTCCCGATCCAGATTGCCGATTCACCGATCCAGATGGGTTTTTGGGGTGCCCGATCCGGGCCACCGATCCGTTTTTAAACCACTGAATGAACTTATTTTAACCATTAAATTACATCACACAAAATAAAAATCATGAGACTATCATGGATGAAGTATATAATCATACATAGACTACAATAAAGAATGGTTTTTTGATAAGAACCTTTTAGTTTTTTTTGGCAAAAACCTTTTATTTGTTTACAAGAAATGTTTGTCGTATTAAATTTTTTTTTGTTTTTAGCAAGAACCTTTTTTTTGACAAAAAATACTTGTTATTTTTTTTTTTTTATAAGAACTTTTTTTTTACAATAACTTTTTATTACTTTTTATTTTTTTGACAAAAACCTTTTATTTTTTTTACAAAAAAAAGAAATTTGATAAGAAATAATTGATAAGAACCTTTCATTTTTTTTTATAAGAAACTTTTTATTTTATTGATAAGAAATTTTTTTGACAACAAGCGAAATTGATAAAAAAATATTTCATTTTTTGATAAGAAAAAATTTGACAAATAAAAAGAAAAAAACAACGTTTCCTCCAGAGGGGATTCGAACCAACATCCTCCACACGAGGAAGGTATGTGATAACCGATACGGCACATGCAACTTAGTGAAGAAACAAAATAATATAATATATCAATGTTTCAAGTTAATACCTTTTCACATTATCCCACATCGAAAAGGTAAAAGAAAATGTTGGTGAATAAATACTTCTTCGTACCCAACGAGGATAACGTGTGCAAAGCAATGAGAGCCATGTGGCGAGGCGTGCGGACCTTAGGTTCCTGTGATTTTTAACCTATTTTACCCTGAAATTTACAAAAATGCCTATGACAATGCACACTGTTGAAGAATTGGGCGGGTCATGACATCATGAATCGAAGAATCGGGAGATTCATGACGTCACATGGCGATTTACAGCACGGAATCGATGGTTCTTCTCTAGAACCGAGCGATTCCCGATATTTCATTAGAACCGGTATGGGTGTGCCGGTTCTCAAGTCGAACCGGGCGAGGCCGGTTCGACTCGCCGACTTTTGAATCACTGGTTACAACTGTAACACTGTGCAGAATGAACACAATTGGGCTCATAATAAGCAGAATATGTCAGCCTCCAAAGTAGGAAAGATTAGCATGAAGTATATAAAGTTTTTTCTATTGGCCATGAAACGGATTTAGATTTAGATAGTCCGCATTGGAATGGAATAAGAATACCAACATGGCCAAACTGAGTGGACCTTGCATGGGAAGCCACGGATGTACTTCAATAGTGCCGCAGAGACACTACCACGAACAGGCCTATGCCTCTGAGAGATAAACTAATGCAATAAAGGAAGAGATTAGCAGTAGGATCTAAAGTAATAACAGTCTCAAAACAACACAAATTTGTGTGCATTTTTCATAACTGAAAAGATCAAAGATACAACACCGACAAGGTAAATCTCAAACTGTTTCGATTTTCTTCTACCTGCAAAACTATTGTAATGAACTTTGAGAGGCATAGATCCTCAACATTTGACGCATTAAGCTTCTCCAAATCAATTTTGGCATAACCATACTGCACCCAAATCATAATCAAACGAAACATAAGTCTTCATCCAAATGCATCTACATTTTGTGTTTTCCTGCCTGGAAGTAACAAATAAGAAAAAGCCTCATTCATGCATATGGATCCATAAGAGGAAGGTTAAGCCAATATCTTGGTTGGTTGACTCAACTTCCCAGAGGATAAAAAACACTAACAGAACAGATATATAGGCTTCTCTGTTCACACTGCAGCAGTTGGTCCCAGTAATAAAGTCATAGTGCTAGCACATTAATCAACATTTTATATATCCATTAGACTCTTTCTTTTTTGGTAAATATATCCATTAGATTCAACTAAACAAAAAGAACACTTTGAAGCATCCTGATAGCAAAGCAAACCTAGTTATTCTCCTAGATTATTAGATTTTTCAAGGAGTTGTTGTGTTCAGACCACCAGTAACACCAATCAGACTGAATAAAAAACTCCAGAATATCAAAGTACCCCTACCCCCAAATCATATTCTGTCAGCAGTGAAGTGGAAAACCCCCTCGCCCCCTCTCTTTAGGGCTCCATCCCTAGAGGAAGGGGCTGGTAGCCCTACTCCCCTCTGCTATTGTAGAGAAGAACACACACACACACACACACATACACACACACACACACACATACACACACACACGCATGCACACATGCATGCACATGCGCACACACGAGAGAGAGAGAATAAGGCGAAAGAGAGCTGATGATTAGAGACGAAGAGAGGGATCACAGAGACCTCTGCCAAGACAGGCAGAGAGAGAGAGAGAGGAATGGCAAGGGATGGGAGACCTCTAACTTCCAGTTCCCTCCAAATGTTGAGGGCCAAATCACTGAATTACTAAAAAGGCCTCTATAGTTATTCCAGAGCTAAATAACACACATAAATACACACCTATAAGTGTCATCCTCATCCTAGAGAAAAGAAGACCATCATAGCACCAGGGGACAGAATTGAATAAAAGATTGACCAACAGCAACCTAGTCTGTGTTGCACAGAAGAAAAAAGTTGGTAACTCAAACCCAGTATCCTAGATATGAACACTGTTAATGCTAAGAGAAAATCCATGAGCAAGTGGGGTGAAAGTGCTCAAACAATTTCCCTTGTCCACCCAATGCAGAAGGAGACTTATAAGAACAAAACTTCAGTCCCGCATCCATTTACCATATAATTCATCTTTAATCAACCTAAAATAGAAAAAAAAAGAAAAGGAGTCCAAATAAATAATCCATCAATAAAGAAAATGAATTACTACATTTAATCAATTTAAGTAGCACTTTATGTATAGGACTATATAAATAATACATCCAGAAAAAAGAACTACTTGAATTGGCGTTCACGTTATGCAGTTGCGCTATAAAACACGCAATGAGGAAATGTTTGTAAAATATCCACCAGATTCAGAATGGGTGTGATATGTTGTTTGTAATCAAAGCTAGATGATAACGACTGGAGATTGGGCTTGACTGGCTGGGGTGTTGACTATTGCAACACTATGTCCTAAGTTTAAAGAACATGCTGATCTACCCAACCCAACGCCCAAAAAAAAGAGGAAAAATATCCTTCAAAGCCCCTTACAAAATCATTAAAGGGGGATCAAAAGATCCCAATTAACATTAGAGGGTTTGCTTTTAACTTTCATTTGCTTCAAGTACCTCCTCAAACAATATATTCAAAAGCACCAAAATTGCCCTTAGTAATTTATCCCCATGGACAACCATGGGTACTCCCGTTATTTGGCTGGGGCCTTAGGTGGGTCAAGTTACTGAAATGCCCCTGTTTGTTTAGGATTACAACCCTCATCAGGGAAGATTGGGTATTCTTTATTTTTCAAGATATTTTTTGAGGAAGTACCTGAATGAAATAAAAATTACAAAATAAACCCTCAACGTTAAATTTTTATCCCCTTAATGATTGTATAAGAGGTTGTGATCCCTTATATGATATTTTCCCAAAAAAAAGGATCAATCGTACATTGAGGCATACATGGAGGCCAAGTTATTTAAAACTTACATTCACAATAGTCACAGTTTGCTTTATCAAAATATTGCAATAGTGGTCCACAAATGATCTTGTCTTGCGGCATGCAGAAATAACTGCATCCAATTCAGCTCTGAAAACACCTGGGAAAACAATAACCAGATTAGTTTCTGCCACCAATTAATGCTAAAAGATTTCTCCGGCATGATACACAAACATGTTCTTGGTATTCTAAGCCATCAGAGACAAAGTAAACAAGATTATCAGAAGTTATAACGAGCCTTTGTAATCGAAAATGTTATCATGCTTCTCCTCTGGGGGTGTCATCATCTCAAAGCATTAGGTGGCCCTAACATGACCATTACATGGATCCACTACATACAACTAAGTGGATAATGAAGGCATTCTTTCCTTTTTCACTAGTGTTAGACAAATGTTGACACATGGGGAACTGAGAGGTAAGAAAATCAACTTAAGCACAACAAATAAACTTAGAGACTACAATTAGCAAGAACATGCTCTGAGAAGCCTCTTTCCATGATATTGTTCTACAAAAGCAGACATCCTTGGACCACGTTTCTTTGTAACATGGTGCATCACATCATAAGAGACAGAGGATGTACATTTTACTTTCCTTTTCCTGTCTTTTTTAGGAAGATTCAATTTCACAAGGGCTCATTTAATAATATAAATTCAACATAAATCGTTAGCATATACATTAGTTATCATTATTTAATAAGGGGATTTTGTGCTTTGGCTGTGAGAACTTAATGACCAATATCAAAGAATTAAATCTTATTCAAGATTATGCAATGACTAAAAACTTTCTAAAGCATCATATCGCCCACATGTACCGCTCTTAAGTAAAACACAAGACAATTCAAAACAACTTAGAAGGCAATTCCGGCACAATAAGATCTTTTTCCTACTCACTTCTTGATAAGTGTCTCAGAGATATCCGAATTCTATTACGAACAAATAATTGGCTTCGATTTGTTGGGTCTTCCACCCATGGTTGCCTAGCTTCTTGGCATATCTGTAAAATATAAATGCAAGAATATTTAAAAGATTATGCACATCAATGTTTGATGTATGTAGACAAAAGAACATTTAATTCCTTAATCTAAATCCTTTGAAGTCAATCCGATATGTTGTAGTTGACTTCGGTACCTATTTAATAAAATAAACAATCAATAGAAAAATTATCTCTTCAAAAAAAAAAAAAAATAGATAAGTATAAAATAATATCAAGTGGAAGCAAAAGAGACTTAAAGAGTACCAGCAGAGAACAGAAATTGTTGTGACAGTGTGTATGATGGATATTTCTGTAGGTAGAATAGCCTGCATGCTGATATCGAGGTATTTAAGAGGCTAGAAGATCTTGGCTCCTATGTTGACTAGATGCCTAAACATTGACCATGTTTTAGCAAATCTAGTCCTAATCCAGAGGGCATCAGGAATCATGAGCAAAGAAATAACTTTTGCATCATAGAATAGTTTCCCTGACTCATGCCATTTCAAGGTTAAACTGATTGTTTAGGCTAAGTTTCAATAACTTGGTTTTTTTTTTTTTTTTTTTTTTTTTTGCAAGGAATTTCACATAGATTTTGAAAGGCCAACCATTTTGTAATGTTTAGATCATTAGCCAAAAGAATATGGTCACATTTTTCTACCAGGTAAGCAACACATGGACCTTTTCTAGTTTTATGACCAATGCTATGTTCGCTCACTACCAAAAGCTGTTAAAATTCCATAGCAACTTAAGAATCAAAGATTTCAGTACCATAATCAGTAAGTTAAAAGAGAGACTCTGGAAAGTCAAACGATCATACTTAGTTACAATTGATATTGAATGCCTACAGCACTGAGAAATCATATATAGGCTTATATATATTATAGCTTACTTTATACGAATCAGTAAGAAGCATGGTCCTACAACATTACCATATTCTCCCCTCAAAACTGCAGAAGAAATTATATATTTCCGAGTTTCCTTCATTCTGAATTGACAACAAAGAACTGAAGTAGACATATTGACCAGTACAACCAACAACAAAGATGGATAAAGTCAGTTACGAATAATTTACAAGAATAAAATCTAACATCAATGTCCTTGGACCCATTTTGTAATTTCTTGTTAATCAAACATGCGATATAGGAACAGAGCTCCATGAAAACACAAAGGAACACCTCCAATTCTACCAAACCTTTCGAGTTTCCTTTTGTCCCAAACATAAGTTATACATCATTTCAGAATTTGTGAAGAAATGAAAAACCTACGGAGTCCCAAATCCATATACCTAACTTTTGTCTATTTATGAATCTCATATACCCGACTTTCAAAACAAAACCTGTAATTCCACTTCATATTCGCATAGCACCCGATTTGTGTCCATAATACTTTACAAAAAATATGTAGCAGAAATTTATAAGGATACAATAATGTAGAACCCAAACACCTAGAATTTTGACAGAGAAATTGAATTCACAATTGTGAACATCCATAAAATACTTGACTAACACTTTTAGCTTGAGTATGAAAACCAATTTGCACCAAGATAAACATTGATAACTATTTAGACTTTAGTGACCAGGAGCTTAGGGAGAAGCCCATCCTAATTGGTATGACAAAGCACAAGCAAAACTACTTCACAGGTGGACGAGAGCCGCCCCATAGTTCAAAGAAAGAAAGAGAACTGTCACACAAAAGAGAAAACAGGATAAAGAGCAGAAAGATATGCTGATTTCTGCAATGCCAGACTAATTGAATTGTTCAATTTGATTTGCAGTTTCTAACATGGAAAGGTGAAAATATTATGTAAAAGAACCCAAAACCCACAAGTGGAAATGTAAGCCAGAAATTAGAGAGCTAAAAAGCTATCCAATAAATATGTGTAAGACCCATTAACAAAAAGAGGATAAAACAAACTCACTTTATAAAGGTCGTCTTTTGAAAATTGCAAAAGTGGTCTCACTAGTAAAACACCATCACCGGCAGAATTTTCTCCATAATTGTGTAAAGACTCCAGAAATAATTGAGAAACAAAAGCCATGCCAGCTAGTCCAAGCACACCACTATTCCGTGATAATCTGAGAATGAACAATTCAGCCTGAAATATCAATTAGGAACCAAGATTATTAGCATTAAGAATTCTAAAGTTGAGAGGCCAAAGTAAACTAGAATATCCAGTACGATACATTACAAAATCAGAGGTCACAATGCATGGGCAAAGTATGAAGTTTGCCCATGCACTGAGGAAACACAATGCCGAATAAACAATTATTTGAGTCACATATATTTTAAATCATAAGTAGCAAGATTGAAATGATACACCATTCAAATAATGGATATTTATTAAGGACCATCATACACAACGAACACAGTAAAATTGCCAATGAATGGGTTTTTTATCCCAAAAAATAAAACATAGGTACACCTGATCATCAGCATGGTGTGCAACAAGCAGCACATCAATCTGGTTCTCAGTACATAAATCCTGAAAAATTTTATACCTGAAAAAGAAAATTAAAAAGTTCAGACAATGAAGAAAAGGGAGTTAACTCCTTGCAGTTCAAAACATGAAAAGGAAGACAACAGGATTTATGATATCCATATAGCATGAAAACAGGATTTATGATATCCATATAGCATCAACATTTGGAAGCATAATAGTATGCAAGCACAGCTAGGTTTCAACCATTAGAAGCACATGCATTCTACACATTAGTAACAAATACGATAGATCATGATCTGATGCACCACGCATATCGCGGTTTTGATGCACCTGGGGTCTATCAACAGCCATTCCACAAAGGCCAAATGAACTAAAAAATAAAATGCAAGCCGTGACTCAAGTCACATTTTCTTATGAGGGACCCATGCAGTTTAGATCCTCCCCCAAGAGTGGCAGTTCAGATGCACAAGGACCATCATATCCATGACATGATTACAATACAATAAAACAATGGCTTCCATAAATGAAAAATAAAGACCCAGTCAACATAAAAATGGCACATAGAGCATGGAGACATTAACATTGTAGGCAAGGCTTAAAAAATCGGCGAACCAGACCGGTACCGGCCGGTTTGGATCGGGAATCGTCATGGCTGGTCCGGTTCTGCCAAAATATCGGGAATCGGTTAGTTCTCTGACAAAAACAGCCAGTTCTATCAAACAACTAGTTCCACTTTATTTTTTAAAAAAATCAACTTATTTTTGTTCTCTAATTTTTTTAAAAAAAATTTATTGGCAGCTTCACTCGGCCGGATTGCCGATCCGGACTGCAAATCCACCGATCTGGACTGGTTTTCTAGATAGGCAATCCGGGTCATTGATCCGTGCTTTTAAGCCTTGATTGTAGGAAATAAAATGATGGGGTCAAATAATATGTGAGAATGCAAAGAGATGATAAACAATGGAGGGATCAAAACTATGGATTCTAGTGGGACCAAATTCAATCGAACCTCATTGACCATTTCAACCCAATTTTGATCAAACCAGGTGCCAACAAAGCCAAACTACAGAAAATTCATAAGGACGAAAAAGAACACCTGCTACCATGAAAGGGCTAGTCAAGGTTCCCAACAGGTTGGCTTACAAGGCCTTGGTCAAGCTAGTAAATCAGGCTCACTTATGATAAAGGAAATCATGCAATTGAAAAAATGTCAAAGTACAACAAAATCATGGATGTTGGAGTACCATGATATGCCCATCAACACAAGAAATAAATAAAATAAAGGTCATAGTTAACCTAAAATAAAGGTCATAGTACAAGCTACACTGATAGATATGGTAGTAGTGAAGAAATAGAAAGATAAGCATTTAAAAAAGGTAGAGAATCCCACCTCATGTCACGAGCTGCTTTTTGTAGATGACCCTGCTCAGGCCTACCATCAGACCAATCACAACATGCAATCTCGCATTGAATACCTATACGTTTGTACAAATTTGGCCAGTTTGCAATTAATAGCACAGTGGCCAAATATATCTATTCTTGTAAAGACAATAAATAGTCAATCTATGCATAAACATCATACATGTACAACAACTTACCCATGTTTGAAACCAAGCCTTTTACATACTTAGCCTCTGCTTCACTCTCAGCACGTAGACCATGATCAACCACAATACCGAGAAGACTTTTTAAGTTCCCAGATCTAATATCCTTACCATCAAGGGCATTAGATTTCCATTCTGAGGTTAAAATGCACAACGCCATGCTATCTGGTCCACCTGATACTCCCATAGCTGAAAGCATAACCAATTACATAAAATTTATTAAAGATCTATGAGGGTATAATTTTTATTTTGTTGTTTAATAGCTTGAATAGAGAGGATAATCCAATAATGTTCTATTTTGTTGTTTCCAATTCAGCTGCTTATTCAACATTGACATTCTATGGATTCAAACAATGCGGATGAAGTAAAACCAAGGAAATATTTGGTTCACGGACAAAACCAAAAATTTGCATCGAGTTTTATCCTACTAATGACGAAATATAGGTGGCTTAGATTCAGGTTCCATTCAAATGGTGGAACAATATTCTGGTGAAAACAAGAGCATGGTAAAGGAATTCATTTTTATTGCCCAAGATCTATGAGTTATGTTTGAAATTTAGCAAACTTTTGCAAAAACTATTTATCATACTTCTTCTTGATTTCCCTTTTGTCTTTCATTATTTCATCCATAATCCGTCCCATCAGCCAAGGAAAAGTATTAATAATAAATTACCATTAGCAGCAACAAAAATTTTATAATAAATAAAAACAGCAATTTATTATCAACTTCAACCAAATCGACGTATACCTGTAATGAATGTCCTGTCAAATTTTTGGCCATAACAGGAATAATATAGAACAGTACAGTAAAGCTCAATTACATTTGTAGAGCCATGGTCACATTGAAACTGAGACAAGCACTTGTCAGCGACTAATCAGAGAACAGAACAATTGTGTTGATAAAATCATTTACTCGTTCCTGTGAATAATTGATGTCTAAAACAGCCACTTGTTCAATGCATCACAATATATATCTCTGGCATGCACATAATCGCAGAAGCATGAATTCTAAAAAAGGGTTGAAAATAAATGTACAAATAACATCATAGCAATGAACGGGACTAGGTTCAAAATCCATATTCTAGGTTTTCTTCATTTCTAGTGTTGATTAATCCATGGCATGATTTTTGTGGCTCAAACGAATTTGAGGAATTCAAGTTACTATAGACTTTCTTGATAAATAGGAGAAAGAAAGAGAAAGGCAATAACCAATTCAACAGTTCAAAATAGAACTAGAGAGAGATAGAGAGATAGCCTATTCAAGAGTGCCCATTAGAACTAGACAGAGGAAGAGAGTGTGAGAGATAATCAATTTATTAGTGTGGAATGGCACTCAAAAGAGAGCAAGAGGGTCTAGGGTGAAACAGAAATGAATAGATAGGGGCAATCAAAAAATAGAACTCAATGAGCGTGCCCACGCACGCAGAAACATATGTAGTTAATCGATTCAATAATGTGAAATGGAACTCAATAGATAGAGAGAGAGAAAGAGACATAGATAATCAATTCAATAATGTGAAATGGAACCCAATAGAGAGAGATATAGAGAGATGATCAATTCAATGGAGTAAAAAGAACTCAATAGAGAGAGAGAGAGAGATGACCAACTCAGAGAGAGATAGAGATAGAGAAAGAGCGAGGTATATTCAATAGTGTGAAATGGAATGCAGCAGAGAGAGAAGTAGCCAATTGAGGGGTGTTTGGTGGTGCAGATGGTTATCATGTCAGTCTAACGCGCTGAAGGTCTCCAGTTCGAGTCCCGGAGATGCCAATTTAATTTTTTTACCACTTGTAAGTTTGTGCACCACATTCGCCAGATCACTAATGATAGCATCCAAAAATGAGGCCCCCATTTGGATAACATATATTACTTGCATAAAACTGAAAATGAGAGACAAGAGTACCCATATACCACTTGTAATTTTGTGCACCACATTCACCAAACAGTTTTGTGGAGGTTCCACACCTATGCAATTCACCGGCTGAAATATCCAAAGCCTTGTAGCAAGCTGGCTCATAAAGAAAAATGCAAACAGGTGCCTTGATAAGATTTGGAAGGTCTCCCTCCCAACATCATCTGGGTGGCTTGGCAAGAAATAAATTGTTGGGCGAAAAGAGAATCGTAATCTATCCATTCAGGCAATAATAAGGGAGATAACATAGAAAATCATAATCTGCATCCTATATACTTGGATCCCTCCTTCAATAAATGAAACTGAAGATACTGTCTACAATAGATGGGACTCGATACCATTGAATGAATTTAGTAAGGATCATTGTACATATAGACGTTTTCTGAGCTTGGTGACTGCTCAAATCCCTAGTTAACTTGGCAGGGATGAAAAAACTAGATAGAGAAAAAGAGAAAGTAGCCCAAACAGAAAGAAAAAGATGGGGTGATCAATTAAAAATTGTGAAATTGAGTTCATATAGAGATAGGTACCATTTCACTGGAGTGAAATAGAGCTCATAGAGAGAGGGGTAATCTTTCCAATACTGTGAAATGGAACATAGAGAGATATATGAGAGCTAACTCAACAGTGGGAAAACACTACGAAATAGAGAAAGAGGTAACAATTCAATAGCTTCAAGTGGAAATTTGGAGAGAGAGAGAGAGAGAGAGAGAGAGAGATTGAAAGAAAGGGAGAGCTGAAAACTTGCCAATTCGATGGTGTGGCTTGATTCCGGCCATTTCCATTCGACGAGAAAACGCTTCCCGATAATCTTCCATACCTTTTACCTCTTCAGACGAATTCTTGCACCAAAAACCATTATACCTGGAAAACGCATGGCCGAATTGACGCATTTTTTTAGCTCTGAAACAAGAAGAAAATCGCTTCTCGAGAACAGTAGCCAGCAAAATTTGGCAGGGTTTAAGCGGATAAACCCTAGAAACCAGCACCATTTCTCTGCAGATCTGAATTCCTAATTTCGTGAAGCCATGTGAGCCCTATAATTAAGCAAATGCCGCGTTTTCTCTGAGATAAATTTCTGAAACCCTAACTTCGTTAGCTCGCGCCATATATTTGAAACTTGATTTGGAACACGTGCCTTATCAATACAATTGGAAACACCCAAAAATGAGGTGGGACATATTCAAATCGAGCATTTTAAATCAACTTTCACCCGTGTAATGAGTGCGGATAGCAAATTTCCGGACCATAGGTGAAATTCATTTTCCTTTCTTTTAATTATTCTAAACATTTATTAAAGAAAAAACCCATAAAACGTTTAGGGAAAGGTTTATATGCTTTCCCTACAGCATAAAAATTCTATCCTCTCCAACCATCCAGCCATCTAATTTTTATCAAAAAAGTTTACTCATTGTTTGATTTTAAATCTATCAAAAAAGTTTACTCATTGTTTGATTTTAAATCCGATATCTCAAATTATTTTATTTTTAGCTTTTTTTATACAAAGTGTATGGATATGAAATTTGATACATGTCATCTTCGTATTGGGGCGTACCTATAAAAAATATTAAAAATAATTTTTTGACAAAATATAAAGACCAAAATACCCTTTAAAACTTTCAAAGGTATTTTTATCATTTTATTTTATTGAAAATATTTATTTACATTTTTTGCTAGTGCAAGTTTAATAGAGGAATGGATGTCCAAAATTTGGTGTCAAAATAGTTTATAAAAAAACATTAAAAAAAAATAGTTTAGAGACGTGACATTGTGATTGGGGCAATCTAAGCCCTCCATTCAGAATGAATGGTTGGATAAAGGGGATGATATAACTTCTATGCTGTGTGGAAAGCATAGAAAGCTTGCCCAAAAGTTTATACATGGCCGATGCTCTAAACATCAATTTAGGGCGCACCTCAAAATTTCACTAAAATAAGTTGTTTTGAAGCCCAAAAATCCTCAAATTGATATTCTCAACCTCAAGATGTATGTCAAGTCTTAGAAATAGTGCATCTTGTAATGTATTTTTTGACCGTCAATTTTTAAGATTTTTAAGTATTCATAAATCTGCTCGATCTACACTACTTTTGAAGTTTTAAATTTTATTATTAGAGATTAAAATAAAGTTTTCAGATCATCCCAAAGATTTTCAGTATTGAAACACCTAGTTTTAGGGCAAAATGAATGGTCTAGATGACTTATTGCAAAATACACTATTTTAAAATTTTGAAATCCTAATCTTTTTGCATAACTATAATGTTCAAGCAGAGATATACGATTTAAAGGTTTTTTAACACTAGAATTGCCATTTTTTATGAGGTATAAGGTGAGGCTTTACTTATTTTGATAGAGCTGCAGCCCTATGAAACCAATTTCCTTTGGACACAATTTCTATGCGGCTATAACGCATATTGTATAAATGCGAGCATGGCAATAAATATATTTTTTAAATATAATTTGGCCCTAATTTTTAGATAATATATAATATTTAATATAGAGATTATGAATATGAAAAAAAAATTAAAAACTATAAATAATAATTATATCAAAAAAACATTTGAATCGATATTTATACTAGCTTTAGATGGACTACCTATTTGCGTCCATATCTAAAATGGATGCTTCAGACCTCTTAGACCGCATATTATAGAAATGTGTTCAGCTCGCATGAAACAAATTTCCCTTTCCTTTACAGTACGCCAGAACATGTTTATGGGCGATGATAGTGCTAGTCCATGATATAACGACCCTTACAACTAATCAAAAGAAGGAGAGAATCCTCTTGTTGAGAGACATGGAGAAGGGATTTATAGGACGTGGCATTTAATTTTTTATCGCGTCTTTCCTAATTGAGCCAAGCTTGAATATGTTTACGAAGGTCAAAGTGATCCTAATTATAGGGGTGGCATTGGACCCGGACCCAATGGCTCTATTTGACGCGGGTTCGGGTATGGGTCTAAAAATTTGACCTGGTGGGTCGGGTCCTGATCTAAATATTGAACCGAAACACTATTTAAGTTCGAGTCCTACATTTATTTTGGGTCCTAATTTGAAAAACATAGTTACATGTAGTTAACTACGTCGGTATTTTAACATTTGGATCGGGTTCAGGTCCCATAATATTTTTTCAGGTCCAGGTGTAGTCGGACCCAACCCAACCCATTGTCACCCCTGCCTAATTGCAAAGACTGCGGATACAGCTACACAATTGATCCATAAGAGTGTCTTTGTTCCCCCTTAATCAAACCACCAGTGGGAGCTATTTTTAATGAGATTTTAAGCTACGTAGATTATTTATCTCTAGGAAATACAATATTCGTTGTGTCATAAATTTTGAAAAGCTCTATTTTGAGACTTTGAGACCAATCAATAATATATCATGGCCTTTGGATTTCATATCCAAGAGTAGGAAGTGATTGTGAGTTCATCTCAAAGTTACTCTCACTTCTTGTTTTTTTTCATTTTTTAAAAGATTTCTTACTTCCACTGAAGTATACTATATATTTACTCTCTCGTGTAAAACTTACTCCATGGATATGTTTTTTTATCTTAATTTTTGGGGATATGATCTCTAGAATTTGACAAAATTCCTCAAAGAAAAATAAAAATAAAAAAATAAACTCTCTTTTTTCTTTTTCTTTTTCTTTTTCTTTATTAACATAGAGATACGACTTATATTAACTACAAACCAGTGAAGTTACAAGGGGAACGAAATACATAAAGGCACATCACACGAAAGTGGTAATCACCAATGAGGATTGAAAGGCACCTCCCTTGGCTAAAGAATCAGTTTTAGCGTTTGTTTCACAGTAATAATGGAGTATTTCAACCTCAAGTGACTAAAGAATACTACTAATTTCATGAAAAATGGAAGAGAGTCTCCAAGGAGCTCACGCTTCTCTTTTGCACCATGTTATAGCAGTAGTTGAAAACCCATTGAATAACCTTTCCTCTATCAAATTTTAAAAGTAATTTAATTCCCTCCAATAAACCTCTAGCTTCTGCTTCATTGACTGTTGTATTACCACCAGGACCAGAGTAAGACAATAGGATCTTTCCAATATGATCTCTGATAAGCCCCCCAAAACCCAATATTCCTAGATTTCGAAAGAAACTACCATCAAAGCTGAGTTTATAGGTGTTTGAAAGAAGCAGAATCCATACTGCACACCGGATTACTTTATAACTATGAAGATTAGCTACTTCAAAACGATGAATTATTGTAAAGCTTTTGAGAATACCTGCACAATCTTTATTAGTAGAAAACCAATCTGCAGTTAATGCTAATATATTTGATTTAATGGTAGATTCTTCTAACACAACTCCCTGGAAGACTCTTCTATTTCGCTATTTCTAAATTCCCCAAGGCACACTCACCCAAACTGACCTCCGTAGAGCAGTACCTATCTTAGAGATATCTGGTGTTATCCATTGTTCAAAAAGAGATGTAGTATTTCTTGGTATGGGTACTTGAAGGTTGAACAATTTACGAGCCCAGCTCCACAAGTTCAAAGCAAAGGGGAACTCCAATAAAAGATGAGGAACACTTTCATTGTCAGTTTTGCATAAAATATAGGCATGATGATATTGAAGCCCCTTCTCCTTAGATTGTCAACTGTTGCTAGACGTTCCTGACAAATTATCCATAAGAACATCTAAATTTTTGTGGGAACATTGATCTTTTTAGTCATTCGCAACCAGGGATCCAATGCACTATGATGATTTTGAAACAACAAACAGTGGGCTGATTTCACTGTTAAATTCCCAAACTTTGTGCATTCCCAAACAGTAGAGTTTGCTTCATTGGGTGAAATGTATGCATCCTTCAGCCTATTCAGCAAGTTTTGATAGACCTCAATGAAAGAATCAGATACCTGTAAGGTAAAGACCAAATAATGTTAGTAAAAACACCCCCAATTACTACTTTTACAGTAGCCAAGAGATTCAAAACTTTGGTAAAGACTTTTGGATATTGGAGTCTCAAAGGCTCATCCCCCAACCATTTATCAAACCAAAAGAGGGTTTAATCTCCATCACCAACCGCCTTCATGATATGGTTCAATTAAGTTTCTCTACAGTGATCATTGCGTCTCCATAAGAATGAAAAGTTGAATTTATTTATTGGTCTCTTCTCCATATTTATCTCTTAAAACCTCCACCCAAAAGGTGTCTTGCTGATAATGTATCATCGACCACCACTTTGTTAATAAATTGGAGTTCATGAAATTCAATCTTTTGATACCTAAACCTCTTTCTCTAACCAGATTGCAAATTGTTTCTCATTTTACTAGATGATGTTCCTTATCTTTGTCCACATCCCTCATAATCTCTCAACACGTTTGACAATTTACATAGGCATATGTGATAGGGACTTGAAGTATAATGGAAGATTGGATAACGAGGACTTGATTAAAGTGTATCTTCCTCCCAAAGAAAGGGTATTGGCCTTCCATAAGTCCAACTTTTTCTGACATCTTTTAATAATTGGGTCCCCAATTGCTTTTGAAGGTTTGGTATCCACTAAAGGGATGCCGAAACACCTACAAGGAAGCTTTTTTGTACCACGACCCAAAAGCTTCTCTAGCCTACCCACCAGATTGTCTTGACATACTATCCCAATAAGCTTAGTCTTATTTAGATTGACTTTCAAGCCTGCTGCTATTTCTACACATTTAATGAAAATCCAAAGATTAGTAACTTCTCAATCACATAAATCACAAAATATAATGGTATCATATGCATATCGCAAATGGAATACCATAAAGCCTCTATTTCCAATTTTCACACCATAAATATATCCCTTGGAAGTAACTCCCTTGAACATGACACTGAAACATTTAGCCATCAAAGTATATAAGAATGATGGTAGAGGGTCCCCTTGTCAGAGACCTCAAGAAGCTTTAAATAAACCATTAGCCTTTCCATTTATCAACAACGAAAAATGAGTGCAAGGAATGCCACCGTGGATGTAAGTGATACCGCCGTAGTGAATTGAAGCTGCCATGAGTGGATGTATAAGGCAGCCGAAGGGGAAACTTCTATACATGCTCTTATATGTATGCCACTTATATGCCATGTAAGCCACTTGGACGCCACCACTTGTAACCCCTTGCATGCCAC